AATTGGGAAAAAATATGGAAAATTAGGGGGAAAATCTAAAAAAGTGGGAAAATGAGGGGGAAAATTGGAAATTGAGGGGGGAAATTGGGAAATGAAGGCAAAAATCTCAAAAAAGTTGGAAAATTAGGGGGAAAATTGGGAAAAAGATGGAAAATGAGGAGGAAATTGGGAAATGAGGGAGAAAATTGGACAATTAGGCAGAAAATAGGAAAATTAGGGGGGGAAATTGGGAATTTGGGGAGAAAATTGGAAAATCGGGGAAAATTATGAAATGAGGGGGGGAAATTGGGAAATGAGAGGGAAATTGGGAATTTGGGGGGAAAATTATGAAATGAGGGGGAAAATACCAAAATTAGGTGGAAATTACCAAAATCATGTGGAAATTCAGGATTTTGGATTTTATTTCCAACGGAATCGGAACAGGATTAAAAAAAAAAAAACCAAATCCAACTTTTCCCTCCCCCAAATTCCCTCGGTCCCCGTTTTTCCATGGATTTCTCATTTTTGGGAATTTTCCGTGGATTTCTCCATCCCACTGCGAGTTTTCCATGAATTTTTCAGTGATGGGGAAGAGTTTTCCATGGATTTCTCATTTTTGGGAGTTCTCCGCGGATTTTTCGGCGATGGGAAGAGTTTTCCGTGGATTTCTCCCAGGTGAATCCATCCCACCGCGAGTTTTCCGTGGATTTCTCATTTTTGGGAGTTTTCCATGGATTTCTCCATCCCATTGTGAGTTTTCCACGGATTTCTTGGCGATGGGAAGAGTTTTCCATGGATTTCTCATTTTTGGGAAAGAGTTTTCCGTGGATCCATCCCACTTTGAGTTTTCCATGGATTTTTCGGTGATGGGAAAGAGTTTTCCATGGATTTCTCATTTTTGGGAAAGATTTTTCCATGGATTTCTCCGTGAATCCATCCCACAGGAAATTTTCCATGGATTTCTCATTTTTGGGAGTTTTCCATGGATTTTTCGGCGATGGGGAAGAGTTTTCCATGGATTTCTCCAAGGTGAATCCATCCCATGGCGAGTTTTCCATGGATTTCTCATTTTTGGGAAAAATAACGGGATGAAGTGGAAAAATAAAGAAATGGCAGGAAAAAATAATGGGATGAGGTAGAAAAAAACCAAAATGGGAGGAAAAATAATGGGATGGGCTGGAAAAAGAACGAAATGGGTGGAAAAATAAAAAAATGAAGGAAAAATAAGGGGATGAGGGAAAAAAAAACGAAATGGAAGAAAAAATAATGGGATGAGGTAGAAAAGAAAATTAAATTTAAGGAAAAGTAATGGGATGAGGTGGAAAAAGAACAAAATGGGAGGAAAAATTAAAAAATGGAAGGAAAAATAACAAAATGGGAGAAAAATAATGGAATGGAAGGAAAAATAACGGAATGGAAGGAAAAATAACGAAATGGGAGGAAAAATTAAAAAATGGAAGGAAAATAAAGGAATGAGGTGGAAAAATAACGGAATGGAAGGAAAAATAACGGGATGGAAGGAAAAATAATGAAATGGGAGGAAAAATAACGGAATGGAAGAAAAAATAACGGGATGGAAGGAAAAATAACGAGATGAGGTGGAACAAAAATGAAATTAAAGGAAAATTAATAGGATGAGGAGGAAAAACCATGAAATGGGTGGAAAAATAAAAAAATGGAAGGAAAAATAATGGGATGAGATGGAAAAATAACAAAATGGAAGGAAAAAGAACGGAACGGGGGCGAAAACATCGGGACGAGAGCAAAACTATGGGGACGGGGCAGGAAAAAATATCCCAACGTGGCCGCTACGAAATCGGGGAATAAAACTCAGGACGGGGAGGATAAAAACTGGGAAAACTATGGAAAAACTACGGGAAAACTACGGAAAAACGGTGGAAAAACACCGAAACCAAAGTGGGGGGAAAAAACACGAGTGGAAAGAGGCGAGGAACGCCCGGATTTCGACGTCGGCGACGATTTTGGGGTTGGCAACGATTTCGGTGTCGGCGATGATTTTGACGTCGGTGAAAATTTCGGCATCGGCGACGATTTTGGCACCGGCGACGATTTTGGGGTTGGTGACGATTTCGGTGTCGGCGACGATTTCGGAGTCGGCGATGATTTCGGTGTCGGCGACGATTTCGGAGTTGGCGATGATTTCGGCGTTGGCGACAATTTCGGCATCGGCGACGATTTCGGGGTTGGCGACGATTTTGGCACCGGTGACGATTTTGGGGTTGGCGACGATTTTGGTGTCGGCGACGATTTCGACGTTGGCGACAATTTCGGCATCGGCGACGATTTTGGCACCGGTGACGATTTTGGGGTTGGCGACGATTTTGGTGTCGGCGACGATTTTGGTGCCGGCGATGATTTTGGAGTCGGCGACGATTTCGGTGTCGGTGACAATTTTGGCGTCGGCGACAATTTCGGTGCCAGTGACGATTTCGGAGTCAGCGACGATTTCGGCGCCGTCGATAATTTCGGCGCCGTCGCTTCCGAGGTTCTTCCCGCCTCACAAGGAGAAGTAGTCCAGAGCCGCGTGGCCGTAGGGGTTGTAAGTCCACACGAGGTCGGCCCGGCCGGAATCGGCCAACGTTCGGGAGATCTCGGCGGCGGCGGCCGCCAAGCGGTGACCGTCCATGGGCTCCTCGTAGACGCGCCGGGAGCCCGGCACGCGGCGCGGCGCTTCCGGCTTGTAGCAGTCGGCCGGGAAGGGATAAACGACGAGGCGGAGATCCGGCAGCTCCAGCGTGCGCAGGAGCAGCTCCCGCAGCGCGGCCGTGGACAGGGCGTTGCCGTGGAGGCCCAGGAAGCGCAGGCGGCGGCAGCGGCGCAGCGCCGGCAGCAGCGCGGCCAGCTGCGCGTCGGCCAGGCGGCATTCCGTCAGCTCCAGGTGCAGCAGCGAGGCCGAGGTCTCCTCCAGGAGCAGCCGCAGCGGCTCCAGCAGCGCCCGCGAGAAGTCGTGGCCGCTCAGGTCCAGGCGCTTGAGGGCCGGCGCGTGGCGGCTGCGGGACAGGAAGGCGAGGTCGGCGGGGAGCAGCGAGCAGAAGGCCAATTCCAAGCTTTCCAACGGAGCGCGGAGCTCGCTGCAGGGAGGGGAGAGGGACAGGGGGGTT